TGTCCAAACATTCTTGTTTGAATTTATTGGAAATACATTCAATTTATGGGAAAAATTAACTACATTTTTGTGAGTGTGGTGCTTATGCCTATAATTCCAGCACTTGTGAGGTTGGTACCAGAGGATTGCTGTGAGTTCAAGACAAGTCTGAACTACATAGTGAGACCTTGTCTCAGAAAAACCAAAACAATAAAAAAAAATTAACTATGTTTTAGACTGTTAGAACAGAAATATTTTCTTCAAACTGAACTTTACAAGGACATTTTAGCATCTTTAAGCAGCATCATCTGCCTTCATATTTAAGTACTACAGCTACTTTTACAAACCTTTATTATATTTCAAGACTCTTTTAAAGATATAAATACATGGCTATACTCTAAAGAGGAAAGCACTCTATTAATTATGACAGCAGCCGCCATTAATACCAGCTCAGGTAATGATGAACATAAACATGAGTTGTCAATTTTTTGCATGCTCATTGGTAAAAGACTCTTACAAACTACTAAAATAGAGGCAAAGGTAGTAAGTGACTTTCTTCTTTTTTTGAATTTAAAAACTCTTCTAGTACACTGAAGATAATGGTTATTACTTTCCTTATTAAATTCTTGCCAAGTGAGAAAATGCTATTCTACTTAAGAAAATTAATGAGAACCATTAAGCTTCTTTTGTTTTTCCCCACGGAAAGTTCTGTAAAGACAATATAAATCATTTAAATAAAGCATCGATTAAACAAACTTAAAATTTTCAGGAAAAATTTGAATTTCTGAAAATCTAGACATTCCAATTAAAATGAAGAAAACTAAACTTTTCATGATCTCCTGATACTTTCTGTTCAAGTATCAGCCTGTTCTGTAACATAAAGTTCTACCAAGCCTGAACAGCCTACTCCTCTGAATTCTAATTTCCAGACAGAGAAGAAGGAAACTTCAAAGGTATCATGATTCTTTCAGAGCAAAATAATAAAGAAAGAAAAAAAAATTTTGAAAAAAGTGCTAGTTGGAAAGACTCAAGAAAATGTTATGCCAAATATATGTTGAAAAACATAAAGATCATTTTAAGGGTCTTATCTCTTTCCAACTGTAACAGAAACTAAGAAACATGTCTGGTTCCTGTCCCAGAAAATAAAGCAGAGCTCTCAACTCCGTGTCACTTTTCCACCTGTTCACTTGTTTGCAGTGGTGCATGCATGCCTCACCTACTGCTCTAAAAAGATGCAAGACCCGAGAGAGTTGGAAAGTGCATTCTTCTCATGAAAAAATAAGTCTATGATTTTGACAGAGAATTAAATGCTAGAAGACTCAGGAAACTTTCCATTGAATTCCTTTAAAAGTTCTGAAGCACTTAAAGTTCTAACTATTATTGATCAACTGATTGATAGATTGACAGCAGGGTCTCATTACATTGTCCGGGTGGGTCTCCAACTCAGAAGTTCAACTGTTCCTCCCACCTCAGCTTCCTGAATAGCTGGGATTAGAGATGCGTGTCACCATGGCAACACAGCTGGCTGATCTGTTATACTCATCTTAGCAACTTTTATGATGACCAAGTGGAATCATTCAATATAAAATACTCTCCCTCCACATACATGGTGCTACTAAATATTTGGGGTTTTCTCTGAAAACCAATCAGACTAAAGCATGACAAATAAACTGGTTCTTAGTTTAGTAGCTTGCAAATGTAAAATCCTCAGAGAGACAGAACAGGCTTCTAGGCTGAGGGCCACCACCGAGGTGAGGCTGAAGGTGAATGGCGCAGGTGTGCGGTCAGGTCATGAGTGTATTTACAAGTAGAGAACAAAATAGCTGCGTTGTTCACTACTGGATTTTTTAAATTAATTTTGATCTTTTAAAAGTCATATATAGTACTGATTTGTTATGATTACTGAGTTAAAAAAAAGAAAACACAAATTCTGCATCTGAAGTAAGTCACTCTTAAGCCTTAGCCCAGCCTAACCCTAAAGTCCTGAGCAACACAAAAGCACTTACAGGTTATAGCAAGACTTCCTGGTGGGGGACTTGCTATAGCAACTAAGGAGAAATGTAACTGAGAAAAGACATTTATTATCTAAATATACCTGAAGTTCATAGTGCTTCAATGGAATGGTTTCTTTTTTGTAAAAGTATGTGAAACTGATGTATGAGATATATGATACATATCTATAATAATTATATATATATATATATATATATATATATATACATATATATATGAAATTCCAACTCTAAGTTGTGTTTGGGCACATTATAAAGACATAAAACTAGGACATAAAGGGATCAGGCGTGTGCTGGGTACCAAGTATTTGCCTCCAATGACCTCACCTGTTATCGCGATGAAGATCACACTGGCTTTGTTTTGTTTTGTTTTCCTAGTGTTACTGGGGACTGAACCTTGGGCCTTTCATTGTACTGACTTCACCTCCAATTAGCCCTTTTTCATTGTCATTTTTATTTTTCTTTTTATTTTGAGATAGGGTCTTGCTCAATATTTAAAGTTGCCAGGCTAAGCTCAAACCTACAATGCACCTGCCTCAGCCTTCAGAGTTCTGGGATTCCAGGCCTGTGCCTCCATGCCCAGCTATTGCATTGTTTTTAAGTAACCCACATTTTTAAGCAGAATGGGGCACTGAATTCATGAAATTGTCTCAGGCACCACACATATGGCAGTAGCTGCATAAGATTTCAATGGGTCTGAAAACTCTTATCTTCTAGTACAATGATTTGAATAAGTCACTCAGGAGGGGGTGGGATAGTAGGCGATCTGCAGGTCTTTAGGGGGAGATCTTCCTTTGAAGGTGACTGTGGGACTCAGTCCTCACCTAATGCCATTTAAATCTCAACAAGAGTCCCAGTGGGAACAAACATCAGAACTATAGCACAAAGCATGCTATGTATGGATGAATCAGATTTCCCCACTTTGAAAGTTTGCTTCTCTTTTACTTAATAGAACAATACATTAGTGATTATATCAGTAGAAATAATTATGACTGCCTCCATCTCTAAACTCAAGAAAAATTTGGTATAGATAAGTGTGAAATATAAATTTCAAATACTTATGCATTAAGCAAAATAGTTGATATATTTAAAAGGAGCAATCATTTTAGTAAACTAATATTGTGCAATAATTTTAGCAGCTCACCTGTCCAGCAACAGTGGTGAAGAAGCTCCACATGGAGGCATCGGCTGAAGAACAGCTGCCCAGGTATGGGGTGTATGCAGGCTGGAACCCACCGGGGCACATGTTTGGGCCTGTTCCTGCCACTGGATGGCCCATCAGTGTCGGTGTTCCTTGCATCTGACCACTAAAATGTCCGAACTATAAGAATGAAAGAGGAGAATGTGAACAATATCAAAGTTGCCTACTACAGTTTGTTTTTTAACATTTTCTAACATTTATTAGAAGACTATTAAAAATAAAAATACAGTAAAGAAAGCTTCCAAACATGAATATCATAAAAACTATAAAATATTGGACAGCCTATAAGAGACCAAGTTCTTTCACATACCACCCAACATTGAAAGAAACATAACATCTATAGCCACCAGGAACCTAATTTAACAGAAAAATATGATGTATAATTTTCAAAAGCTTTTACTATAATCCTTTTTTTTTCATTTTACTTTGAGACTTAGCATCTATTTTTAATACTTCACAAAAGCATTTTACTCCACATTTTAAGAATTCAGAAGAGAAAGAGGTACTACAATTTTTCTTTTTTCTTTTCTTTTTTTGGTGGAACCAGGGATTGAACTCAGGCCCTTGAGCTTGCCAGGGAAGTGCTCATTCCACTGAGCCATCTCCCTGGCCCAAGACTTTTGATTATGCCATTTTGAACAAATATTTTAACCTACATCATAAAAGGGTGATCAGTTTTTCAGAAGGCAGAAAGAGAAAAAAATACAATTATGAGGGATGAGAAAATAATACAGTACAGAATGAGTTCATAGCTGTAGCTATGGGATGTGGTAAGGGCAGAGGACTCGAGGTAACACTGGAGCTGTAGAGGACAGTCAAAACTAGAGTAGGAAACACTGAAACACAAAAGGAGAAAAAGCAAACATTACAGCAGAATAATCTGAATCCCAAGTACAACTTTTTAAGATGAAAAGACTAACTGGAACAAGTCAACCTAATTTTAGCAATAGAAATAAAAGGGGTATATAACAACAAACATAAATGAAAAAAATATAAGTGTGCCATGCTGGCCCTGCCCTCAGGTGGTACATGCCTGTGATCCCAGTGATGGGGAGGTTGTCAACAGGAGGACCACTATGAGTCTGAGTTGTGTAGCGAGACCCTGTACCACATACACTAATTTATTTTTTAATTATATATACATATTGATATCCTATGAACATCTTTATACCAATATATTCAAAAGTATGGGAATTAACAAAATTATATAAATTATAAAAAAATTGATTCATGGGAAAAATCTTATTTTGATGAACCCTAACACTGAGGATAGACAGTTTCACAGAAGATTATTTTTAAATGCTTTTAAGAATGTTGATAAAAGGCAAGTTTCATCTCCAATATCTGGGGATATAGATAAACTCTAAAGTAAAAAGATGTTAGGTCCTGAGCTTGTGGCAGCCATGGACAGCTGGTATTTGCCGCAAGGCCTACAAGAACATAGAAGCCAACCACGGCCTAGAATACAATCAATGATTTAAATTAAAGCCCTGGTGGAGACTCTCCTCCCCTCAAACTTCACACATAGCAGAAAAGCTTAAAGATATTTTATGAAAAGAGAGGCCAAACTCAATATATGTACTATAATGGAAAGGTAATGCTGAGATGCTGCCAAAGGCTGGGTATGGACCCTCTACTGTAACATCTCCATTTCTGTCATGAAAGACAAGTCCATCTTGTTTTGTAACCAAAATCAGGTAAATAGTATTATATGAAGAAGCTGTCTTTAGGGATTACAACTATCTTTCCTCCTTTCCTGATGTTTGGCACTGACTTTCCCAAAGCCAGTAATTTTGAGAAACCACTGGTCAGATTAAAGATAGCTGCACACTCTTTGGGACTCTTCCCACTGAAAAGCAGAGTCTCCCTTGAATCTAGGCTGTGCCTGTGCTCAACTTCATCTGGTAGAACGTGGTAGAGATGGCACTCTGTCCTTTCTAGGTTTCAGTCCTTAGGAAGACCAGCAGCTTGTCTTTCTCATGAAGGATGTGGCCAGTGTGTTTGGAGGAAGGGTTTCAGGGTAAATCATGAGGGGATTTGACTGACCTTATCAGATACAAAAGTTACATTTTTTGTTATATATAGGCCTTATATATAGGCATATATAGGCATATATATGTATATATATATATATATATATATATATATATATACTTTATCTTGGTCTTAACCATCCAGCAGAAAAGTATAAAAACAAAATATAAAAAGTAAAGCCATATTAATATGTTGAGCTGTAAAAGGCTCAAGTCAACAACTTCTGACATTGCTAGTCCTACAGATAACCCACTACTATTATGGACTACTGGACTATATTGGATTATTTTGCTGAATTCACACACCTATGATATTTAAATGGCAATGGAATACCCATCTCTGACAAAAATAACAAAAAAGGGGATACAAATGAAGAACCATTTTTTATCTGTATATATAAAATAGTTAGGATAGATATATAGGCCCTTTCTCTTAATTCCAATGAGAAGAAAGTTTTGAACTAATAGTGTTTGGACAGGATATTATGTCTGCATCTTGTACTATGAATAACTACTACAAAGACAACAATATGCAATGTATTAATTATTATAACTGTCCTACTAACCTGTTTTGAAACTGTCTCAATGCTATTTCTTTCTCATATGGTAGAAAATTCTCTACCTTCCATATATATATGGAAGAAGCTGAATAATAGGTGGTGAAGAACTGGGACCCTAGGGGGCCAAGATTCCATCAGTGGCTTCTCTGGCACCCTTGGTCTCAGACTTTCCCTTCCCTTCCCTTCTCTCCCTCCTCACTGTACACTATGGCTGTCACAAGGTGAAGGACTTTCCTCTACCACTGTCCCACAACAATGCAGTCAGCTGACCATGACCTCTAATTGCTAAAAGACGAAACGAAAACAACTATTTCCTCTTTGGATCCATCTAAGGTAAGGTACCTGGTTACAGTGAGGAAAAGCTAATACGGGGATCGAAATTGAAGAGCGGAAGTTGCCAAAGGGAATTCAGGTAAGTTTTCAAGCAAAACAGTTTTTAAAAGGAGGTGTCTCAATTGAGGGTATGGAAATTCTCTACCTTAAAACAATAATTCTTGGGGGCCGGGGAGATGGCTCAGTAGGATAAGCGCTTGACTGGCAAACACAAGGACCTGAGTTCAATCCC